GTTTCAATTGTAGCCAGTCCACAGGGCAAATGTCCACGCTGAAGCTGTTCTAATAAGGTCGAGAGGAGTCGAAGGCCCAGTGTAAAACTTGCAAACCAAATACTAAGGATAATGCTAGTGGTTAAATAAAGAGATATTAGCGGGACTTTAAAAATAACAATCCTTTATAAAACCAAGGAAGAAAATACACTTGGGTAAAGTTTGAGAATCCCACTATTGCACGAACTGCATTTGGGGAGCACTGAGCAGGGACGCATTTCATGGAACATATCACTTCCTAGAAAAGATGTGGCATGGGAAAAGTTAATACCAACGCGAAGTAGTAGGGGTGAAAGTTTATAGCTTTCTTCCTAGCAGAGGCACCCTCGCCACATGGTTCATGGCTACTATCATCTTTCACCCGCTTAACGCGAACCTTTGACAGAATCGCATGCTTGTACACCTTAAGAAAATCCCGAAACAGCTCGTCGAAATTGATCTTGACGTGTGCATCTTTGAAGTAACCCACTTTGCCGGAAAAACCACCTTGACAGTACAAAGGTAGAGCATATTTGTCACTTTTGCAGTCGGAGGAAGGCATTTTAAGGTCTCTGCAAAAAGTATAAGGAAAAATATTTAGAAGGTAACTCACGAGAAGAGATTAAAAAAAAAAAAAAAAAAAAAAAAAAAAAACCCACGAACTGCAGGGCTTAGTGCCCTAACGCCATGCCCTATGGCCCAGCTCGCAAATCCCCACTCTCTCTCTTACATGTGGTCCGTACTGTTGAGCCCAACATGCAGAAGGCCTGCACCTCTCTCCCTTCTTCCTTGCGCCCCAAGCATCTCATTGAGGCCCAAGGCCTCATGACCCTCTCTCTTTTGCAAGCAGGCCAACCCAACGCAAGGGAAAGCCTACACCTTTTCTCCCATTTTCACTTACATGTTAGGCTCCCCAAGAAACAAGGTTGGGCCACACAGCCCAGGCTACCAAAGCCCGAGAGCTGACCCAAGTTGGATTCTCCTTCTCTCTCGCATTTCTATTGCACAGGCCCCTACCCAGCAACCCACAAGGTCCGGCCCAAGCCAACCTTTCAGCGTCGCCCTTTCCTCTCGGCCTTAGCCGAGTAAAGCTCAGCACATTGACCCTTTTTCCACACCACCAAGCTACACCGTGGCATCCCCGTCAAGCGTTTCTTACTTCCTCGGCCCCCGCCGAGCCAATTTTTTTCAAGTCCCAAGACTTCCAAAAAATTCAAGAAGAAGAAAATTCAAATTTTTCTTACCTTGGTGCGACACGGAGAAGAAGAACTACAACGAGAGACAACTCTTTGCAGGGGCAAGAAAAGAAGAACGCTAGGGGAGGGGGAATAAAAATTTCCTCTGGCTTCTCTTCCTTGTTGGAATAATGATTGCACTCCAAATTTATTTAATCCCCTACTTAAGGCATAATTAAATAGGTATTGGGGGCAATTGTTTTCCTTTTCGTAGAAGAAGTCTATCTCCAAATCAAGAAAGAAGATCAAGTTCAAATTGGGAAGCAATTTTATAAGTCTAAACAGCTTGGGATTCCTACACGTACTATCATTTTCTTGCGTGCATCACAGTAGGTGTGGGGGCATTTGTGGAGCCTAAAATAATTCCAAAAATTCTAAAAGCGACACGTGGACTTTTATTCAAGAAAGACAAGATTGCTCTCAATAAATTGGCAGGCTTCTCAAATGCTCCCATGCGTAGCTCACATCCCTGGAGGTTCTAAGAGCTGAATACAATGCTCACAACTCACCTGCCCTTGGCAAGGAATTAAAGATAAGGATTAATTACCCAAATCCTATCTTTAATACATTCCCATTTGAAGATTGACTCCAATCAAGTAAGTAATCCTAATTTAAATCAATTAGGGATAATTGCTCGATTATCTCAAGATATTATTTCCTATTAAATATCTTTGGAATATTTAAAGAATATCTCTCCATTAAACACTATGGCCGGCCCTATCCCTATAAATACCCCATATTCTACCATATTCTATAAAAAATGAAGCATTCCAAGTTTGCATCAATTGAGCGTTCCTCATTTATCATGTTGATAAGAGATAGAGCATCAGACTCTATCTCTAGCATCTCATAATGCATGTCCCTACATATCACCAAAGCTATACGAATTGCAGCTGCTTCAACTATAGCTACATCATTGAAAAACGCTCATGAGGTGTATCCATGGGTGAAGCTACATGAGGACAAAGAAGGGAAAATCACCATTGAGAGTGAAGATTTCGCCCCTCTGGTCCTCTAAACTGCCACTGAAATTAATTTCTTGTGCAACTATGTTGTTTCTGTGTTTTATGCTTCACTACTTCTTTCACACTTTTAGTTTTTTAAATACCCAAGTCAAAAACAACATCGTTTTGGTCCTGCGATAAAAAAACATAAAATAGAGTCGTTAAGGAGGGAAACCATGTTGTGAGTGTGCAGAGAAGTTTCTAGTTCTATAAGGCTCTATTTAAGGCCATTATGCTCCACAATTGATATATGATGGTCAAGAGGTACTTTAATGCAATGTTGAGTAGGGGAATATAGCCCAATAGGAATGCTTATAAATTATATGAGTCATTAGTCATACCCACAAGGTGTTTGATGAAACACCCCACTTAACTGTCTCTCCTTTGAATGCTAAGTCAGGAGCTACTGCAGAGAGAATCGATGGGATGATACCTTGTATCTCTTCCATAACATGATATCTGAGCCAAGTGGGAATGATGAGAAACTCGATAATTTCAATATTCCTATTGCTTTGAAGGCATGTCCAAGGTTAAGGTCTTCACATATGAGAAAATAATACACGGGTTTGTGAAGAAACATGACAAGGTTGCATTGAATATTTTTCTGGGTTATGCGTTGATTGAATTATACTCCAAATATGGAGAAATAGGTGAGGCTATGAAAGTGCTTAACGAGTTTCACAACCGAATATGTGTAACGAATTTCACTATTCCTACTACTCATCTTTTTTTTGGCTATCGAATATCTAGGCAACTTTTGAGGTGGTTAGCATGTCAATTTGGTAGCTCTTTGCCTCTTTCAGATTCTTTAGCTATTTTTTGGGATTTCTATGTTCATAAGCCCTTTTCCAAATAGTTGCACAATCTATGAATTTTGCCGGTCTTTCTACTATTTCAGCTATTTGAAAGGCTATTTGGAAGGCTTGAAATAAGTTTATTTTTTAGGGTTATCCAATCTATTTTCATCGTCTTTGCGTGTCTCTCAATTCTGCAATTGTTCATGGTGAGAAGTTTATTCCTGGTTACTCTCAGGATTTTGACACTCGAATCATTTCTTCTTTGGGGATCTGACCTATCCCTTGCAAGGCGCTTACTATTTCTTCCTGTCTTTTGGTCTCCTTTTTGGTTTCTTTGGGTTCAGCTTAATACAGATGGTTTGTCTAAAGGCAATCCCGGTTTTATTGCTTGTGAAGGAGTTTTCAGGAATTGCAATGGTCATTTTCTTGGAGGTTTCTGTCAATGAATTGGTCATTACAATTTTTTTTTTTTTTGTGTAGAATTATCAACAATTATTATTAGTATAAAGTTTGTATATCAGCGAGATTGGCATTGTCTTTGGCTGGAAAGTGACAGTTCTAGTGTTATTTCTATTCTTCAATCGTCTGATTTTGATCATCCTTGGCCTCTTCGTACGCAATGGTCTATTTGTTTGGATCGTATTTGGAAAATGACTTTCTATGCATCTCACATATATCGCGAAGAAAATCTTATTGTGGACAATTTTGCTAAAATGGGCTTGTCTTCTTCATCTTTAACATGGCATGATTCTCCATCGTTGGCGGCTCGTGCTGCTTTATTTTCAGACTATGTTAGCTTGTCTGGCTACCGCTTTTGAAATTAATGTGGATGTCGGCATCTAGGTTTGTCTCACTTTCTTGTTTTTTTTTCCCTAACTTTATGGTGTTGTTTGACTTGATTTGCAGGTTTAGACCTTTAGGTTTGGTTTTAGAAGGGTTAGGTTTCATGTCCTCACCTCCCTGTATCATTCATGTTTTTGTTTCTAAAAAGAGAAGGTTTGTGTCTCCCCTTCTTTTGCGTATTCCTTTTTGTTTTCTCTATTTTTTGAGGGTAAGGTGTATGTCCCTCCTAACTAGGTGTAACTTATTTTTCTATCATCAATAAAATCTCTCATACCGTCGAAGTTTCTCAAAAAAAAAAAAAAAAAACAATGGTTATGAATTTTCTCAAATAGTTGGACAACCAAGAATTTAGTCAGATATTTTATGGCAACATAGCTATGAAAGATATACAACAGTTGACTTTGTTAGAAATTTTATTCAAACTTATACAAAGTATTGATGTGGGACATCAATGATGTAGGGTTTCAATTAGTCCATTTCAATAATTCATCAATGATGATGGAAACTCAACTCAACACTTGAAACATCACGCCTGAATGCCATGAGCAATGTACATCATATGATCATGACTACCGCAAGTTACAATGCCAGGTTACACAGTAATAACAGATCAAACAAAAAGAAAGGAAGGACCAAAATTGCAAGAAACAGATCCGCAGCCGTCAATGATTATATGCACAATAATTTCTTGTTGCCGCGTTGTGTTAAGAAATAGTATGCTGGATATATATACTTTAATTTTTGTTTAATTTTTCGATATATAAACACACACACACACACACACACAAAGGAAGTTGATGAATTATATATTCGTCCATTGAAAGCATGGTTAATTTTCTATATGCAGGTGTCTCTCCGCAGCCCTCAGTGATTACGTGTTGCGTTAAGAAATAGGACGCTGGATATATATATATATATATATATATATATATCGTTTAATTTTTCTATCTATATACAAAGGAAGTTGATCAATTATATATTCGTCCATTGAAAGCATGGTTAATTTTCTATATGTAGTCATCTCTCTCTCTCTCTCTCTCTCTCTCTCTCTCTCTCTCTCTCTCTCTCTCTCTCTCTCCCTCCCTCCCTCCCTCCCTCCCTGATAAGAAGAAAGAAACAAAGAATATAGAAGAATGTGGAAGCTTAGGGTCGCAGATGGTGGCAGTGATCCATACATCTACAGCACAAACAACTTCGTGGGAAGGCAGATATCTGAGTTTGACCCTGAAGCGGGAACTACCGAAGAGCGAGCTGAGGTGGAAGAAGCTCGTCTTCATTTCTACAATAATCGCTATCAGGTTAAGCCCAGTGGTGACCTCCTATGGCGAATGCAGGTGTGCTTTAGTTCGTCCAAACTCTTTTTGTAAGTTAGTTTACTGCAAATGTAAACCAGGTTTCTAATAAATGTGAGTTCTAGTTATCTTGGTTCCACCCATGTTGTTATTGTCCACTCACTTATCATTAATGCACCATACAAATTTCATAATCAATAAAGACATTATTTCACTTTTTCACATTATCTAAAGATCATGTTTGCTAAAAATCAAGCAATTTGGATATCATTTAGTCAACCACATATATCAAATATGATTAACAGTTTTGATAATAATTTATCAATCTTTCATTCATTTGATGCATTGTGATGACTAAACGTTCTCTAACTTGGTTGATTTTCAGAATATAAAATGAATAAGCAAATTCTAATAATGAAGTTTGTATGTCAAAAATTCGTTAATTACAAGTAGACAAATGCACTCATAAAGTGGACAAAAGTATCATCCATGAGTAAATACATATCAAATAACACTACACTCATATTCGCCCTCCAACCTCCCACCAAATGTTATCTTGTACTTTGCCGAAGTGTATTTTCTTCCTTGGTTTTATAAAGGAGTGGAATTGATATTTTTAAAGTACCGCTAACATCTCCATTTCAATACATTTTTTTTTTTTTTGTGTATCACTTAATACTACAGTTTAATACTATTTCTCTTTATTTAAATTTAAATTTTACGAAGTTGAGTTTTATATCAAGTTATTCTCACTCTTTAGTATAAATATTCCCATTCTTGGTTGGTCCGGCGGGTGCACATCAAGTTGTAATAGTAATAAGAATATAATAATATTTAACATAATAAAAAATAAAAAATAAAAGAAAGTAGTGCTACCCTTACTATCAACTTGTACCATCATTTATATCATTTCTCTAATAGACGTAAGGTTTCCTACCACATGTGAGTCCTATCTCTATTTGAGATATGGTACAAATAGATGGTAAAAATATCATTTTTAAATAAAAATAGAACTTTTTATTTGTCTCGTTTCTAATACTCACAAGTTTCCATTTTCCTATCTGATGGGCAACACCGATAAATCTTTAGAACATCACCATCATAATTTTTTTTAATCAATACTTCAATCCTTTCATTAGTATCGCTCTTAATTCTCTATTCAATTACCGGCAGTTCCTAAGGGAGAAGAACTTCAAACAAACAATTCCCCCAGTTAAAGTTGAGGATAGAGAGGAAATCTCACATGAAAAGGTCACAGCTTCATTGAGAAGGTCTGTCCACTTCCTTTCAGCTTTGCAGGCTACCGATGGCCATTGGCCTGCTGAAAATGCCGGCCCGTTATTTTTTCTTCCTCCTTTGGTGAGTATTTAATTTCTATTTTCCCGTACATTGTCACCATTTAGTATATCATGTTAATTAATCATGCAATCTCCCATTTATATAAAGGGATAAATTTACTCCAACTTCTTAAAAGTTTATAAGGTCACATTTTGTGTATATGAGTAATGTTAGGTAAATTAATTCTTTAGACTAAAAATTATGTGATATGTCACTAATAGAAAATAAGCATGTTAATCAACATTTAAGTAGTAATACAATCATCTACGACCACATTATATGACTTATAGGATATAGTTTAAATAGCATTACCCAATGTATTTGGAAGAAAAAAAATGTTGTCAACTTTCAAAATTTGAAAGAAATAATTTAAGTTTGTCTTTATGACTACAGAGTTTAAACTTAATGTCAACTTTCAAAAATGAGCAATGATCGTAAGCCTATTATATCAGCATTTGTCTTGCTGGTTGTTAGCCCCAAATACCAACTCTTTTTATCAAACAAATCCAAAACCTTTGTACTATCTATTTTGAAGCCATAGCATTTTCCATTTTTAAACAAACTATGAAAATACTTTATTCGGCTTAAAAATAAACAACATAGTTTCTGAGTTTTTACCTAAATTCAAATTTTTGCAAATTTTGATAATTACTCTTTCCAATTTTTTACTCAAAATTTGCAGGTCATGTGCACTTACATTACAGGGCATCTTAATACTATATTCCATGCAAAACATCGAAAAGAAATTTTGCGTTACATATACTATCATCAGGTACATTATATACATTTTGGTATTTTTCCACACAAATTGGATCAAATTATAATTTTTCAAAATGTGCTTGTTTGTGCTAAACTACTAACAAGGGTTGCAGTTAAGTTGGCCAAGAGTTTCACTTCTGCATTACAAGTCCCTCTTGTATAAAAGAAAAGACACAATAAAAATGCTAATTAATGTTTTGGGTATTCCAGAACCAAGATGGTGGCTGGGGATTACACATTGAAGGACACAGCATCATGTTCTGCACAGCTCTCAACTACATTTGTATGCGTATTCTTGGGGAAGAACCTGATGGTGGCCAAGACAATGCTTGTACAAGAGCTAGAAAGTGGATTCTTGATCATGGCAGTGTTACCCACATCCCCTCTTGGGGTAAAACTTGGCTTTCGGTATGTCTATCTGCAGCAATAAGACCAACTTCTTTTATTAGGCTTTAGTAAACTGTTCTTAAATTTCACTATAACTATAGCAAATCGATCGTCAACATATTGATACTTTATCTATGCTACATATAACAAACTTATTTGAGATTATTTGTTATTGATGACAGGATAATATCAACAACGTATAAGAATGTATTACTCTCAATGATATTAGTAGATAACATTATTATTGATACATTCTATAACGGTGGCGGGACCCTACTATTATGAGTAAGATTTACCTGGATTGGACTGTCTAAAAGGTGAAGATAGATGTGATGTGTCATATTTAACTTCATATGTAGTGATGCAAGTTATACCGTATATATCCAATGCATACATAATCAAATAATTGTTTGAAACATTTAGCTTTTTGTTTTCATTAGAGAAAGATTCAGTCAAATTTAGAATTAAATATTACTCTTATATCTTCTTAAGGTAGAGTTCCACCTTTTCTACTCTAGATTAATCAAATATGACTTTGCATATATAGTACACCAAATCATTTATAACCTTAACTATTTCAGTATATTGAAGAGTGATCGAGTCATATTTGGCATTGAGAACACTGCACTACTATTATTTAAGACGATTTCCCCTTTTAATTAATCCTGCTCAATTGATTCTTGAAGATACTTGGTGTGTTTGAGTGGTCCGGAAGCAACCCAATGCCCCCAGAGTTTTGGATTCTGCCTTCATTTCTTCCTATGCATCCAGGTTAGAACAATTCCGGACCCGACAAGTACAAATAATTCAGTCTTTCACATGTTGATTCATTTAATTAGTCTCTCTCTACCTATAGTCTTCTTTTTAAATCTGTTTTATATCATGCAAATGCAGCAAAAATGTGGTGCTACTGTAGGATGGTTTACATGCCTATGTCATATTTATATGGGAAAAGATTTGTTGGTCCAATCACACCTCTCATACTACAATTAAGGGAAGAACTCTATGCTCAACCTTATGACAAAATTAACTGGAAGGGAGTGCGTCATTACTGTGCTAAAGTGAGTTTAACTTGATAAAGATATCTAATTAGTTGTTTGGCTAGGTACATAAACTGATTGCAGTAAATTGAATGCAGGAGGACATCTACTTCCCTCATCCTTGGATACAGGACTTTCTATGGGATTGTCTGTACATATGTACAGAGCCACTTCTTACTCGCTGGCCATTTAACAAGTTGATCAGGGAAAGGGCTCTCGAAGTAACAATGAAGCATATTCATTATGAAGATGAAAACAGCAGATACATTACCATTGGATGTGTCGAAAAGGTGTTATGCATGCTGGCTTGTTGGGCTGAAGATCCAAATGGTGATTATTTTAAAAAGCATCTTGCCAGGATACCAGACTATTTATGGGTTGCTGAGGATGGGATGAAGATGCAAGTTAGTACACATTTTGTTAATGCAGTATAAGTTGATACATTGTTCTTTACCCTTTTTTTCTGTTTCAAAAGTTCACTCTTCTAAATCATTGGAAAACATTATAAGTTGATACATTTTCTTGATACTTGCAGAGTTTTGGCAGTCAACTATGGGATACTGGTTTTGCCGTTCAAGCTTTGCTTGCTTGCAATCTAACCGATGAAGTTGCACCCACGCTCGCTAGAGGACATGATTTCATCAAAAAATCTCAGGTTCTTTTTATATAGTCAACTCAATTTTCATTTTTTGTAAAATGTGTGTGTGCATCAATTATTTTGGTCCAACAAGTGAATGTTTTGGGATCGAATTGTAAAGGTCAAGGACAATCCATCAGGTGACTTCAAAAGCATGCACCGCCACATTTCCAAAGGATCGTGGACTTTCTCTGATCAAGACCATGGATGGCAAGTTTCTGATTCCACTGCAGATGGTTTAAAGGTAACAAATAGTTCAACTTAGTTATCCACCTTAAATGTTATTTCTATATTTCTCACTATAACACCCTCTACAGTGTTGCCTGCTTTTATCGATGATGCCACCAGAGATGGTTGGTGAAAAAATGGAACCTGAGAGGTTATATGATGCTGTCAATGTCATAATTTCCCTACAGGTGACAACTATTATGTCTGTTAGTCATATATATGAGTTTGAGTTGCATTTTGTTTCCCTGCCGTAATCAAATTTGGATCTATGCATGGCTGCCTTACTTTAAAAACCTTTTAGCATTTCAAGACATTAGTTCTTCATTACATGGTCTATTAGGTCTCTCTACTCATTAAAAATCATTTTTATGGCTCATTGTAGAGTAAGAATGGTGGTTTAGCGGCCTGGGAACCAGCAGGAGCAGCAGAATGGTTAGAAGTAAGAATTTTAAAGAATTGGAGTCATGTTGTTGAACTTAGTCTGATGCGTATGAAACTAAAGTTTTTTAAGGCGTTATTAATTAGTATACCTACTGGATATTCTCTCTTCTTTTTTCTCCCCAGTTGTTGAATCCTGCAGAATTCTTCGCCGACATTGTGGTTGAGCATGAATATGTTGAATGTACTTCATCTGCAATTCAGGCGTTAGTTTTGTTTAAGAAGTTGTACCCTGGCCACAGGAAGAAAGAGATTGATCAATTTATTACCAATGCAGCACAGTACCTCGAAAATACACAAATGGCAGATGGTTCATGGTATATCATATTTTTAAATCAAAAGTTGATTATATACATTTTCTTTGATTAACAACTGGAGCAAAAAAAGAACTTAGTTAAGAACATTTGCACAGGTACGGGAATTGGGGAGTTTGCTTCACATATGGTACCTGGTTTGCTCTTGGAGGGTTAACAGCTGCTGGCAAGACTTTCAACAATTGTGCAGTTATACGCAAAGCTATAAGTTTTTTACTCACAATCCAGAAAGAGAACGGTGGTTGGGGAGAGAGCTACCTTTCATGTCCAAAAAAGGTAAAATATGGGAGGTGGATTATATTTGAAGCTAGCTCCAAGTTTCTTAGTTAATCTCATTGTCTTAGACTAAAATATTTCAATCTGTGGTGGGTGATACAGGAGTATGTTCCTCTTGAAGGAAACCGATCAAATTTAGTACACACAGCTTGGGCTATGATGGGTTTAATTCATGCAGGACAGGCGGAAAGAGACCCCACACCTCTTCATCGTGCAGCAAAGTTGATAATCAATTCAAAGATGGAAAATGGTGATTTTCCTCAGCAGGTATCTTGCTTACTGTAACATCTATTCCAACCAAAAATATTTCCCTTACATTACTTGCATTGCAAGCTTGACGAGCAAAAAAGATGAAACACAAAATAACATATTGTGTTGCATAAACGTATGCTCAAATTTTTACTTGCAACGTTTTATAACTTCTAATTACTAATTATATATGGCAGGAAATCACTGGAGTGATCATGAAGAACTGCATGCTACATTATGCAGCTTATAGAAACATCCACCCACTGTGGGCTCTTGCAGAATACCGCAAGCGGGTTCCATTGCCTTCCAAAGCCTAATTAGGCATTCTGTGCTCTTGCATGCAGCATAAACAAGATCGGTTTCCCAGGAATTTAGGCAATAAATTTGTTAAGATTGTAACACGTACAAAAATAAGATGGAAGAACTTGAAAATGATTATATGCAATAAATTTGAGAGAACTTTCAAATGACCCCAAAGTATCATTTTGAAGGTCTTTGTTTAGTGTCTTTATATTGCATTTCTAGTTTTTTTGCATTGATTGAGTAATTTATTGATAATGTTCTCATAGTGTATTTTTTACTATTAGAATAAAATGTTCCGAAACTTCGAAAGTCCCTCAAACATATGGCAAATAATCAAAGAAACATAAAAGTTCTCATCCCTCGGTAACTTTCCGGAAATGCAAATAAAGTTGGCTTGAAGACTTAGATAAATAAAGAATGTCTTTTGAACATAATATGTGAGACATAATCAAATTATTTAGAGTTGTATACTCCGCCCTCTACACGCAAATTTAAATCCAATTATGATTTTGAGTTTCTACCTTTCACTTTTTTGAAATGAAATCCTTCACCAACAACATCAAAATTCAACCAGCCCCTAAAAATCCCTAGGTGCAAGAGAAAAAAAACCAAAAGAAAGAAAAACTTACCGCTGACCCCAACCCTTGGCCTTGGTATCAGCGGCAATCCTTTTTCATCCCTTCCTTCTCTTTCTTTTCATGTTTTAATAGTGGTCACTCTCTCACTTTTCGAGGAAGCCTTTGTGGTTGTAGTTGTGGTCTTCTGAGAAGGAGAGCTTTTGTAGAGGTTATGACCGAATGCTTAATCCTGGATCTTAAAGTGAATTGTTTTTCAAGTCTAAGGTGGTAATTTTGTGGTTTGTGCTCTTGGCAAGGATTATAATTAAGGAGAAAACTCGATGTTTGTTGGAAGTCACTCAAAGCAGGGTTTTTGTCAACGATTGCAACATTAAAGGATGGTGATGTCTTTCTTTCATGGGGCCATTGCAGTTGTTCGAGAAATTCACAATCATGTTTTCTTATCGTTGCAAAGTCCTCAGATGATGGTAAATGTTTACCTTGTGTTTCTTGATGGTGTTAGGTCCGACTCATAGTGTTTATGTCTTGTGAGTTATTTTTTTTTGTTGGTTAGGTGTGGGTCTCCTGTGATTGAGGAATCATACCTCTAAGAGTTTGTTTTATGTCGTGTGTTTGTTTGTTTTTATTTTTTTTTTTATTTTTTTTTCCCGTATTGTTTTAGTTGTGATTTCGTTGTCGTTTTTTTTTTCTTTTTTTTTTTTTTGGCAAAGGACTATGATGATATCTTCGTGATCTCTCATATTGCCAAATAAGCGTCGTATTTTGCAAGTTCATCAGAAAGTGATATAAGATTTTGTCTTCTTTAGTGTTATCATTCTTTTAGTTAGATGTGGTTATGGAGGGGTAAGTTTTGTATTATCTTTTTGTTGTGTTTATAAGGTCCAATATCCCAGTAGATAGAGTGTTGGATTTCCATCCATGTGCCCTGGGTTCGAAACTTCCCCCTTCCCCTAATTATTGTAATAATTTTAAACCCTCCCCTTTTTTTAATAATAATAAGTTCATGAAAAAACCATGAAATGATTCTTAATAGATAATGTTTCTCATGTTATTTGATTAATGAAATAGTTGTTACCTGAAAAGATGAAATCCTTCAACAACTTGGAATGTGCTTGGCCAACTTGGGATGAGGCCAATCAAATCCATCCGACCAAGTCCTTATTATAGTACGACTCGGACTAACAAGAAGGGAAAAAGGTCCAAGTCCTTAATAGATTGAGAACTAGCTTAGTAATAGACCTCGTAATTTTTTACACGATCCATTAACACGACATAAAAATGATAAAATAACGAGTTTTAGTTCAACTCAATAACTAATATGGTCGTTATTAGGTCACCCGTTCTTAACGGATTTAGACGTGGGTAACCCGGTTCAATCCGTTAAGAAAAAAGTCGGTTTGATAATTATGAACTACTAAAAAAACCTTACTAGTTACCACAATAGCCGTAGTACTTAATCTCACATAAGTGAGATTAAAATTTTATAAAGCACATTAACATACAAATAAAATTAGGAGAGAAATGATGTGTGTTTATTATCTCTCTAGTAATAAATTGTCAATAACTTTTAAAATATGTAACGTTACAAATAAAATTAGATAAAAGTTGTCTGAGATAATAATTTATTCTTAAGAGTTAAATGTCTTGTTTTTGAGCTTGTGTGTACGTAACAATTCATCGGAACCTTGTTGTTGGCATGAAACTTGTGACATTAAAGAGAGCATTATACATACAAGCATTATCTATTAGAGATTAGGCGTTTTCTCTTTTTTCAATGTCAGCATCTTGAAATTGACATGTTCTACTACTAATGTAGTTCTTTGTATTCATACAACTTTTAAAGTATGACTAAGTTAAAAAATAATTTGTGTAGCTACACCTCTATTAAGTAAGAACATCTCTACAGTAATAAATTGGTTTGCTGACAACATTATAACTATATAGATATTTAATTTTATGCTATTTTGTAGACCTTATAAACGAGTTGTATTTGTTGTTTCATGTCATATCCGTTATCTTAACAGGTTTTGTCGTATGAAACTTGTTATCTTAACGCATTCTTAACAAGTGACTCAATAATGACCCGATTCGTTAATGGATAGTGTCGTTTTGTGTCAAGTTAAGAGTCATGCAAAAAGTTGTCATGTCATGTCTAGATCTCGTAAATTATTTCTTATTCGGGTTTTTAACGGGTGACCCGATAATGACCAGACTTATAAAGGGATTCTTAATGGGTGACCTGATAACCACCCAACTCGTTAACGGATAAACCGTAACCTATTAATTTCGTGTCATTTCATGTTGAGTTAACAGGTTGTACAAGAAATTGTCAATCGTAATATTTTGGACCAAGGAAATAAGTAAAAATAAAGGCCTAGTGGTTTAAAATGAATGACGAGTTCCTCGGGTAGTGGCATCTTAAACCGCACTCAATCTTCCTGACCTAGCGCCATTTCGAACATGTGGGGTTGATGGCTATAACCATGTAAGGTGAACTTGCAATCCGAAACGGACAAAAGCTTAAAAGCCCGGATTCAATGTGCATGGAGGAGGATAATTAAGGTAGTTTGCACATGACGAAGTTTATAAAATGAAAGGATACTAGGGCCAACTTCAACCACCCCAGAAGAGGATTCAAGCGAGCCAAGTGCAAAGTGCGAAGATAGATGCAAGGAGGCTATCCAGGGAGACCATCTCCCTATACTTAATTTGGGAAATCGATTTCTACCCACCTCTTGTCACCGCCTTCACCCACTTAATTATTTTTATTTATTAATTCTCTTTTAGTTATTTTATGACCACCCAACATTTTGTCAAATGCATGCAGCCAACTTCAAAATTTAAAATTAAATGACTAATGTGTTGTAAAAAGAAATGACTATTTAGGCGTAGAAGGATTTTAAATAAATTTTATTATCTAAATAGTAAATACCCCCAAATCATTTCTAATGTTGGATAACATATCAAACGATGTTGAGGCCTTGAAGGTTTTCAAGTAAGACAATACATGCTTTAAATAAATGACGCTGGGCCTTCCGCTGGCATGTGATCAGCCTTGCGCATGAAATGCGGCTGCAGGCTGCTGCTGAAGGCCTTTTGAGGCTGCACGAGATTGGGCTGCAGGGGCCGGCCCACGGGGAGAAAAGGCTGGGCAGGGACACCGGGTGCAGGGACTGCAGCAAGCATAGCAACAGTGCTGGGTCAGTTTTTGTTTGTGCCTCGAAAGTCATGAGACACGACCGCAAATCAGGGAACTCCGGTGGAGGGAGAGTTAATAATAGGAAGTTTTAACGAAAAATTCATGGTACTGTTTATTTTAACAAAAAATCATATTTTTACACTAAAAAGTTAATTCTAGTACTATTCATTTTACCATTTATTCTGTCCTTATCATTAAAACTCAAAGTTTTCAAGCCTTTCTTATTAGTTTTTCTTTAATAATAGCCGCTGCAAATATTGAAAAATCAAGATCAAGACCTTTAAGGACAAAGTTCACCCAATCAGTATTAGAAACATGTTGATTAATAGGAGCAAGAGAACAATAAACTTAGCTTGGTGAAGAGAATCAAAGATGGAGCAGGAGCCTTTTGTAAGTGCCAGAAGTTGAAACCGGAGATTCGCGGCATTAGTCAGTAAGGCCTGAGAAAAATGCATATGGATGTCTTTGGTAGGGGGTTTGCCAATAGTAAGTGACAAAATAGGTTCAAAAAGAGTGGAAGCCAAATAACTAACAACTAGTTGATTAGTCTGAAACCACATAGCAATAGTTGGATTCCGTTTGACAAGTTTCTTGTCAATAGTAGGAAGAGTGGTGGCAGGGGCCAGAGTTGTGCCATCAACAAAGCCAAATAAATTGTGACCGAGAAGAAACAACTTCATCTAACTAAGCCAAAAGAGGTAGTTGGAATCGGCGAGTTTTAGAAAGTGAGCAACATTAGGACCGAAGAGAGAAGGTCCAGTGAGGGTAGAGGATGAAGAAGGTTGTGTAGCCATGGGGAATAGGGAGTAGGTAGGCACGGCAAAGTTAAAACGATTTGGGGAATATTAACTTAGAGGGGACGGCAAATTGGGAAGAAAGAGGAAGGAGGCTAGGGTTGTACTAGGAAAAGGGAACCTAAAACTAGTAATACCATATAGAATTGTAATTCAATGATTTGATAACACAACATTACAAATATATACTAGCAGCCTACCATCCCAGCCGCCGTCGGAGCACCTCCAACCGAGCAGCCTCCAACCCAGCACGAACCAACACCTCCAGGAGACGCCGGAGATCAAGTCACTCCAAGACCCAAAATCGGAAAATAAGAAATTTTCAACATCCACTAACAGCCACAACAAAGATCTAAACCACAAAACAAAGGAAGCCAGTGGGAAATTACATCCCACGGGCAATGGAGCCGAGAACGACAAACACAAGGAAGGTGGTGGTGCGAACACCCAAGCCAGTGGGAAATTAATAACAATAAGATTATAAACATGTTAGCAATTGAATTACATTGTTTTGAGCTGAATTTAAGGAGCTCTCATACAGGTTTATAAACAGTTCATTATCTGGAGTACTAAGCGTTGAACAATAAACAGACATCATTCAGAGAGCCTCCAATACTTGGCAACGATATTCTCCAAGGGCCCAAATGGGAAAAATGTTCCGGTAGGCTGAATAGCTGATCATACAGTTCTTGTTGAAGACACCAGTGATCTCCTGTATGGGAAGTGTAAACGTTATTGAGGTCATATAGCCTTCGTAAGTGGTAATCATAGTTACAAACTTCCTGCATGAGATTTACACTAAGATCTTGGTTTCCGGTACATATATACTCAATGAAGAAAACGGAGGTTTCACCGTAAAACCAATTGGTAATATGAAAAGTAGCCCAACAACTTATAAGCACATTCAAGGTCCCTTCTGTCCTCAATGTGTGATTAATACGTATTGTCAACACATCCCTCATGTGTGGCGAACTTTCAAGCCTAACACATGGACAGCACAAATCATGTGACGTGGAGCACGTGTGCCCGTAGATCTTCACACATGGACAACCTACTTTGATAGCATGAATAAAATTGAGGTTCCACCATTAAACCAATTGGAAACAGGAGGAGTAACCCGCTTACTTATAAGATGCAAGGTCCCTCATTTCCCCAATGTGGGATTTATATTCTCAACACTTAAGATTGTTCAATTTGCCTATTTGAATAACACTAAGTACTTATATTACTTGCTTCAAAAGCTATACATATATTTATAAGGTTTAATTACTCTCTGCAGCCTAGAAAAGTACTAAAGGTCTTTACACCTGCATTTCTCTCTGTACAGTTTTCTTCTACATTGGCAAGATGTTTTGAAAATTGCAGTTAGCATGTCTGTAATCAAACCAAACCAAATGGATTTCTATGAAGACAGAAAAAACCATGTTAGCTTGTAATTGTAGATTGCACGGTCAAGAGGGTATAAAGACTCTTGTGTGAAACATTATGGAAAGAGTTGCCAATTTACCTTCTGAGGGAAATCTCCATTTTTCATTTGAGAATTGATTAGTACTCTAGCTGCCCGATGCAACGGAGTTGGGTCTCTCTTAGCCTTTCAAGGAGGAGAACATAACAAGAAATACAGGTATTAAAGTGAGCAACATATGGATGTCAAACGGTTATTCGTAAAAAGGTTTCAAAAATTCTGCAAATGAATAATCCTCTAAATTCTAATTTACACCAAATTTGGTATCCATGGGAGAAGGATGAATTTGATAAATCACATGGAAAGGAGAATGAGTGATGAATTTGTTGTACCTGCCCAGCACCAATAAGGGCCAACATAGCCCATGCAGTTTGAACTATATGTGGCCTATTGTCCTTGAGATTTGTATACACCTGACACACAAACAGTCGGCATTAAGTTATGCAAGTCGAAAGTAGATCATACATTTTGCCAAATGTGTATGCAAATGAAAACCAAGAATTGAGTGAAGGATTTGTCATAATAGAGGAATAAAGTAAGCTCCGGGCCTATGAAAGACAACGAAGTATATTTCAAATTTGAGGAATCATTAACCTTGTTCTGACATGATAGATAGCTTTCTCCCCATCCACCTGAAGGAAGCTCTTTGGATAACAAAAAGTCGCATGCTTTACGGATGCTTGAGCAGTCTTCGTATGTCCTTCCCGCAGCAACCAACCCCTTTATTCCAAACCAGCCAGCATAGGTGAAGCATACTCCCCAGGAACCATACCTATACAACCAAAAACATAGAGCCATCATACACCCAAACCACGCATTGAAATGTCCCATATATGTATGCATGTATTTTTAATTGAAAGAAAAAACAAACCAAGATCCATCTGCTGCTTGTATTGTTTCAATGAACTTTGCAGCACGAGCAATGCAGTTTTCTATTTCATCACTCCTATGCCCAGGACATAACCTTTTGAACAATGCAAGTGCTTGAATTGCTGCTGAGGTGCATTCAACATATCTGCATCCCCATTCCAATCAAGATGACTTCAGGCATTTTCCATGATATAGAATAAAATGTACAGAATTCAAAAGGTAGTGTACAGAAATCGTACGGATAATCAATGACGATGTCACCAAAAGTTTCGGCAGGGTTGATTAGCTGAAAATAGAATACAAATAATCATATGCATATGATCTCATCATCATCCATATAGAAGGAAGAAAACGAACTAAAAAAAGCTCATAAATGATATTTACCTCTAACCACTGATACGATCTAGTTAGTTCATAAGTGGCAAAACCACCATCGTCATTCTGCGGTGCAGAACCCAAAGATTAAGGAATTAGTTAAATAATTGTAAAACAAAAAAGCATGAAAATGTAAATATTCTGTCAACAAATTTAGACTTGAGCTGCTGATTAAGAATCATGACATGCTTGACAGAACTAAACATGCATGTGTGCATATATCATACAGAAATACTTGCATGTACAGTCTTTCTTTTATATTCTCATAACTATATATCCTACACTTTCTCCATAGCTTCCAATTTTTTGATGGATATTAGAGTAATATTTTTTACCGTAGTTTACAGATTACATAATAAAATGGTCAATTAAGCAGGGATATATTTTTCATTTCATATATCACGAGAGACAAGGAGGGTTCTCTTGAAAATATAGTTTATCATAAAGAATACGGGTTGCCACATCATGTCTGGTCAGATTCAATTCCCGTACAGCCAGTGATTACCTGTAAGGAAAGGGTAACATTTACAGCATCATAAAATCGCTTCATATCCAATGATTCACCAACTGTTTGTGTTGGAAGTTTCGATAGTAATAAGGCAGCCTGCACAAAGAAAAAATATTAAGAAAAGCAGCATGTGAAATGTTGAGTGTTCAAGCTACCTTCAGTCCTTCAGCTGTGCAGTCAGAGATAGGCCACCCATGATCTGCTGTTGAGAATGGCCAAGCACCTTTTGAAATGTGACGATACCAATAATCCAGATCTCCAGGACAATCTTCCAAGACCTTCAAATCAAAGTATTAGTTGAGCAACGATAATTATCATAAATGTTGAATGATACAGTTCGATTTCTGCCTATGAAAACCTGGGAATCTTTGATATACTGATGCGCTTTTCTTAAAGTAGGTCCATATTCTTCAACCAGGTTAGTTGATATAATCGCTTGAATGGCAAAAGAAGTATCCCATGCTTGACTTCCGTTGTAGCCCTGCAGTAAAAGGAAAACTAACATTAAATTAGAAACAATCCAGGTAGGAAAGAGGGAGTGTGGAAAGAGATAGGGAGGAACTTAAAATCTGTTCGAAACAATTTAATGCTATAACTGACCTGCATTTTCATGCCATCTTCAGCAATCCACAAATAATCAGGGATTCTTGGGAGATGCAATTTGAATGCCTCTGAGTTTGGATCCTCCGCCCAACAACAAAGCATATTTAACACCTACATCGTTTAGGAAATAGACAATCAAGAATCACGCAACTACTTACCGAATCAATCTATAAGACAAAAATACATGTCAATTGCGCAATTCCAATGGCAAAATATGTATGAGATCTATTGGCAGATGATGATATGCACAAAATATATTCTGCATGCATACCTTGTTAACAGGCCCTATGCATATGTACCGAGTATTTTCATCTTCATAATGAATATGCTGCATTACAGTCTTCAAAGCACTCTCCCTCAATTGTTTTGCAGGCCAACGTGTGAAAACAGGTTCATAAACATAGTGAAGAGACCCCCACAAGACATCTTGTACCATTGGGTGTGGATAGTATAGATCTTCCTAGAAATTGTATAAAGCATCCCATGTAAGCATCAAAAACATATGCAAGTGAATTGTCATTAATAGATTTACCTGTACAACTAAAATTCGATGGAAAAATGCATGTGCACATATACATAGATGCAGGGAAAACATGTTTTATTGTATTTGGAGAGTTATAGGAAAGTAATCCAACAATTAACCATGTCCAGGACCCTAAAATCAAATTTGTACTTTCATAAATAGCTATCATATATTTCACCTGTGAGTCTGTGACTAACCCTATGAAAGATAAGAATGTTCATTAAACTCACAGACACGGGATCTTTACGCAGGGTAGCTGGAGGAAGCAGAGTATATTGAAAGCGCAGATGTTTCTTACCAACCTTTGCACATAGATTGCGAGCTTTATTCCAGTCAACTTCATGATAGGGGACTGTATAAAGCTCCTTCCTCAATGACCGGATTGTGGGTGTGATAGGTCCAACAAACCTTTTCCCATACAAATACGACATAGGCAAATACACCATTCGGCAATGACACCACATTCTTCCTGTAAGTGTAAAATTTGAAATTCATAAACCGTAAAGATTAGAAGTTAGGCAGTTAACAGCATGGACAAGTCTATGGACATATTAATGCTAGTAAGACCTCTATTATTTAATCAAGATTTTTAATGAAAGGAGGTTTGAATTTATCTTATCCTGCCTAGAATGAACTTAAAGCACCGAAATGAAATGTCCAATAATGATGAGAGACCTGGATGAAATGGCAGAGAGTAAGGACATAGCCATACTTCAGGCGGCAGTGGATTATTCCCAGACCATTCATATGCCCCAAGTACCTATCATCATCAGAGATGCATGTCAACTAATATTTCTGAATGACTACACCGTGGGAACAATCCAACAAGATAAACATAGAGTTCATACTGAAAGCCACATTTTGCCCCAAGAAGTAATTGCAGTCACGCCACCATGGTCTAATATCCATTTCCGTGCAAGTTCGATTGCCCCTTGTCCATCATCCGCACCTTCGCCAAGCAACCTCAAAGTAACATAATTTAGAGCAGTACCAAACATGGTACTTGGCCCCTCAATATGCAGACCCCATCCCCCATCTTCATTCTGCAAACACAATTCATCCGTAAATTTCTTATCTTATTAGCAAACAGAGAGAATGTAACCTGAAATTCTATATGGAAAGGAAAGCATCCTTAATAAAATAAAAAATGAAAAACTATCATTTCATGAGAAACCATTCCTGCCTGATGATTATAAAGATATCTGCACATCTCACGTTTATGCTCTTTGGATAACACAGCATTTATAGCTCCAGTAATTGAAAGTGTAATGACCTGTTGCAATTGATGAGTAATACTTAGTCACCCAACAATTACCAACTGGACCAAATAATAAAGAATTTAATCATTTCAGTAAGAAGAAAGGATGTGAAGTTCCAAAACGACATGCAGCCATCTTTTGGAATGTCAAACTTATTTCTCAGATTTAACCATGATATCTATGTTTTCCGTGTTTAGGGTACAAGCATTGATGGAAACACATGGTGATTACTAGTTTTCTCCCTTACCAAACCAGGGAGCAGAAACATGGGACCCCCATAATCCCCAGCCCAATGACCATCATGCGCCTGGATTGTTGAATAAAAACTGAGAGCCCTTCGTAAAGTGGTTGCCACTGCCTCTTCCTTCACCCCTTCTTGATCTTTAACTTTGAGTTGCGGTAGATTAGTGGCATGTGGATTCTCCTTCGCAAACTACATTTAAGAAATAAGAACAAAACACTCATTTAAAAAAGGAAAGTAGGGTTACAAAACATGGGTAATTAAACCCAAATACCAACCTCAGAACTCATATGATTTGGCCTAAACTAACCAAAATTATTTGCTCATATTGGCAGGGGATTAACAAATTAGGCATAATTTAGGAGACTAATTGCAAGGATGGATAAAACACACCGGCAGCTATAAGTTTTATACAAAAGCACTCCGAGAGCTCAGTTGGAGAACACGGTACCCGAAACACATATCACTCGAAAGAAAAACATCATTCAAACTTACAAAGCCTAATGCTACACAAGAAAGCCTACAATGCAGTGTGAAAAACCTGACCATCTTGTTCACCAGCATTATCAAATTCAGCAGTTCTACTGATTTTATACATAATTCGATGATCCAGAACACCACAACGATAATTTAAATAGTTTACATACAAATTTCACTAATAAATAAATACCCTTTTCCCAGCCATATGCAGTATATTCAATTTCTAGAGAATGAAATATAAAAATAAAAAAATAAAAAATAAAAAAAAAGGGCAAAACCCAGGTGAAAAAGAACCTGAATTCTCATGAGGAGGTCAGAGCTGTGCCGCCTTTCGAAACGATTGTTCCAGAAAGCCTTGCGGGCATCTTCAATTTGCTGAAGCTCTTCTGGGGTTCCAATCTCTGGATGGAACTCCCAAACTTGGCGGCCCAAGTGGTTGTTCACACTCTTCAGCCACTGACCTCCACTTTCTCCTCCTACTGTCTCTGCCCCTACCTTCAGCTTCCACATTTTTCACTTCTCTTTTAATTCTTCAGAACTAATGAGTTCTTGCGAATTTGCCAATCAATGCCAAAGAAGGTTTGAATCTTTTTTTATGGGTTTTGTGTTAATTGGAGAAATTGATCATTGAACTTTCAGTTTGAAAGGAAGACTCTGTTTCTTCAACTTGGAATTGGGCACTTGAAAGTTGCCACTTGGTACTTTGGGAAGAAAACTGAAAGGGGAGGGGACGGATTTGGATCCGGATAGGAATTACAAATCATTTGATTTTTTTATATGAAATTAAATATTAATATTATTTAACGAAAATTAATTATATAATGTGCAATAAAAAATTAAGATGCAAGGATTTTAGAATCCTGTAACGTAGATCCGGAGAAGATACACTTCCGGATGAGCCAGCTTGGTTTTCCCTTCTTTGTTCTCTCTCTCTCTCTCTCCCTCTGCTAATGAGATTATAACTTTTTTTGCAAAATAAAAACAAAATTTATATGTAATTTCAGTACTTCACTCAATCCATGTGAAGAAGTCGTGTCCACATCAATTTTTGAGATTTCTTTCTTCCTCTTTGCTGGCCATGTGAGCACATCGAAAGACAATAATTGTGCATTTATACAAAAAATATCAGTATTATTTATATAGTTAAATACTATTTTAGACTTCGACAGAAAAAGTGTACTCAATTAATTGTACTTAAAAAAGAACTAATGAAAAAGAATTGAAAATTTTAAGTTTTAACAATAAAAATAAAATAAAGTGTAAAGTGAATAGTACCAAAATTGACTTTTTAGTGTAAAATGTAGTTAACAGTACCGGAAGCTTTTCGTTAAAGTTCCCGTAAATCTATAATGTTGGTGCTTGTGCTAGTACTGATAGTGTAGTGCTTATGGGAGTATGATTCTCTACCCTTCTAATCTCTATCCCCTTTCATCCCCTCATATTTAAACGGTTGCGATTACGCCACGTCTACATCTTGTTTTGACTTTTTTATATAGAGAATAAGACAAAAAGAAGAGTGTGAGTGGAGGGGATGGTAATAGGAGGGGAGAGAATCCTACTCCGTGCTTATGTTAGTTATTTGGTGATTATTATTTATGCTTGCGAATTATCTCTATATCATTAAATTTAATTGGAAAATACACTCATGTGGTAACCTTGGTAACTATTACAGTCCATTAATGGAATTTTGTTGTCGCTTCTTGTAAAAAATGTTAAAATCGAAGGAAGTTAAGGTCTATTAAACCAACTCCTTAGAAATCTTTTGACAAATTTCTCGTATGCGATATTTTTTCACATCATCACGGTAATTCACCTCCCCTAAAAGAATAGAGTAAATTGTAACAATTATCCTTTAACTTTAACTCAATTAGAGTAATGGTCCCTCAACTAAAAATCAATTATCATTGGTCTCTCAATTCATCAAAACATGCAGCTATAGTCCCTTAACTAAAAATACATTACCAATGGTTCCTCAACTTTAATCCAACTGGAGAAATGGTCCCTCAACTTTAACTCAATTATAGCAATGATCCTTCCAATATAACTTATTTTGACAAAATTATGATGAAGTTGATGAAAATGATCATAGCTACACATTTAGATGAGTTTAGGGACCAATGTGATAGATTTTTAGTTGATTGCTTCAATTTGATTAAAGTTGATGAACCATTGTCACAATTTACTCAAAAGAAAATTGTTGAATTCAATGGAAAATTGGTTCTTGTTGCATAATTTGCATTAAATTAATCAGATCTAATTTCTAACAGCTACCAGTACAACTGGATAATGATAAATATAATCCACAGCTGGATCATTATCACGAACAAAGTCTAGCATAGCCACTATTCACCACATAAGTGCTTATTGATCTACATTGTCCATGCTCACCATACCCATTTTATTTCAAAACTAGGGTCACCACCAATCACAACCATATATTATCGAGACATTATTGTATAAATATGAAAAATGTTAAGGAGATTAAATTTTTGTAAGGTATTAGCATATCATCTAATATAATAAGGAATGTATACGTTTTGTGCCAAGTAATACGTTTTTCTCATTAGATGTTGATTATATATATGCATCATTTACATTAGCCTCATCAAATTTTTTTTATCAAAGTTTTGTAATGTATGTTTCAATTTATTATGAGCTATTACATATAATTATGTTTTAATTTATTATGGGAGTATTATTTGTCGTGATCTTATTCATTGGAGTTAGTTTTGTAAAATTTGGCATATATATTTGTCGTAAAATTATTATGAGAGTATTATTTGTCGTGTGCTTTTTCACTGGAGTTAGTTTTGTAAAATTTGGCATATATATTTTTCGGAAAATGAATTTTGTTGATGATTACTTTCCTCGTTTGTGTTTATATTACAATTTGGAATTCATCCTTTTCGAGAAAAAATTTCTTTATTGTCCACTACTAATCGCTAGGCCTCGTAACATTCTTATATAGTTTTTGTTGTCTTTCACATAGTATGCTCCGTTATCAACCAAAAGAAAGAGTTAAGAAGGATTAGTCGGGCCAACATGTAAAACAAAGGCAACAATTACGAAGAAAAATAGTCATGGCTCAGAGGACACACTGGTAAGTTAACACAGCCGGCCAAACTTTTTCTGACCAAGGATTTGGCTGACTATTGTTTAGCCTTTGTAGGAAATAGCATGTCTAACCAAGTATTCGTTTGTCTTCTCACATAATTCTAATATTCTATAAATGACAAAATGAGGTTGAACTTCATAACCGATGAGTTCGTAATCAATTTATTTTTCACTTTCTTAATATACATATATTGTTATATATATATATATATATATAAACAAAAGCCGTGAATAACAACTATACAATATTAAAAAAAAAAAAAGACCTGGTTAAGTTTTTTTTTTTTGGATAACATAAGACCATCTCCAACCTTTGGGAATAAACCTTAAAAATTTAAGCCAAAAAATTTTAAGCCATAAGTTAGAAACTGTTTCGCCTCCATGACACACCCCGACCTAGATCGAGGCATGGTTACGTCACTCTCACGTGATGGCTAGCATGCCTCAATCTAGGTCTGAGGGTCACCCAAAAATAAAACCATGAGGGTGTGGTAAAGGCCTAAAACGGACAATATTGTGCTACGGTGAAGTCAAGCCTGGGATGTGGTGGGGGCCCGAGCCAGGATGTGACACTCCAACTCTTGTGGCTTAAAATTTTAGCCGGTGATGATTAAATAATGATTTTAGCCTAACTTTTTGTTTTCAGTAACTTTTTTTAAAATAAAATTTATGTAGATTATCTTAATTTATTTTTGTGAACATTTTAGTCTAAAAATATTTAAATTTCGATAAATAATTAAAAATCATACAAATACATAGGTATTTATAAAGTTTTAAGTTAAATTTGATTTAAATTATTTTCTTAAATTATTTTAAATGTTAGATTTAATTTTGGGCTGCAAATTTTTTTTTTTACTATTAAATTTGATCTCATTTGATCATAGTCATTATATTATAAGTAAAAAACAAAAAAATGTTTGAAATATGACAGTTTGGTGGGTCCTGAATAATTTAAGCCAGACTTAAATCCTGAAAGAATTTAGCCTAGAGATATATTTTCTCCCCAAGACTTATTTTAGCCCATGGTTGGAAATGGTTTGGGGGTTTTAAAGCTTATATTTTAAGCTTTATCCCATGAGTTGGAGATGGTCTAAGAGTAACACCCCAAATCTACTCACTAGAAATGTTATTCATATTCAAAGTTTGAAACTTTTTACTAATTACATAGAGTTGTGCTCTCTTGATCACCCATGATAAGGATACATTGTCACCCACTTTTGAATTTGATATCGAAGGCTAGGATCAAATATCAAAAGTACATGTATTTATTGTTCACAGTTGATATGAAGTCCAATTATAAATGACCATGCATTAATATTACATGGGTTGTTTTGTTTTTTTTTTTTTAACCGCCACAATTGATATTAAGTCCAATTATAAATGATCGTGCATTAATATTTATGTAATTATATGGGTTTTTTTTAACCGTCACAGTTGATATTAAGTCCAATTATAAATGACCATGCATTAATATTTATGTAATTATATGGGTTTTTTTTTGTTTTAACCGTCACAAGAACAATATTCTAAATCCGCCACTACATATTAGATATTTTTTGCATTTACCAAAGAGTGTTGACTTGAGAGAGAATGGTAGAGGGGGACACCTCATGCATTGTAGGGGCTGAACCTTTAATTGTGCATTATTTAAGAGATCTGTTTAATTGCACATATGTGACAAGAATTGTTATATTTTTTTTCTCTATTGCCAAAAAATTAATCTGCATAGATTCCAGGATATCTCAATGTCATTTTCATAGCTGAGCACAAAAAGGAAATCTTGCGTTACACATACGACCATCAAAATGAAGATGGTGGCTTGGGATTGCACATAGCAAGGCCTAGTATGATGTTTACTACATTCCTTAACTACTGTATGATGCCTATTCTCGGAGATGGTCTTGTGGTAGTGCCTGCTATTCTGCATCATGGGCAGGGCCGGTTCAAAGATTTTTAAGGCCCGGAGGGCGACGTAAAAAAATGTGCCCTCATTTCATATAAAAAAAAAATATTTGTTTTCACATGTAAGATATCAATAAAATTATATTTAGAAAAACACTTCAAATTCAATAATTTAGAAACACGAAATAATTAGATAGAATATGAGTTTTGTTTTCCATCTGAACTTTTAAAATGTTTTTTTATAAGTCATGAGTTGTTTTTTCTTATTTACTAACCTTGTCAATATAAGAATAAAAAAATATTAATGTTTTTGAGTTGTTAAGGATATGTATAAGCAATGAATGAACACTAAATTAAACCTTTTGATGACATGTAATATTATTTGCAAATTTGATCTAAAAATTTAGTCTACGCATTACTCTTTGCTGAAGATTAGATTTGAATTGGAACGGATATTTAAACCACCAGTTCATTCATTTTAAACAACAAAACCACACGTGGTGTTTTGAACCTAAGACCTCTTCATTGATTTTAAACAACAAAACCACTAGTTCTAGTTAATTTCTTTTGTCACTAAACCAAATTTTATAAATTTATACTCTTATAAAAACATATATAAATATACCACCCTAATAATTTTGGTGCCCCCAATTTTTTTGGGCCCCGGACGGTCGCCCTGCCCACACTAGGCCTAATAATGTGAAAAATCGTTATTAACATATTCACCGTCATTATCAGAACGTAAAATTCGGATTTTAGTAGAATACTGTGTTTGAACCATGGTGTGGAAGGTCTTAAAAGCCGAAAAAAACATCACTTTTATGCTTAAGAAGGTATAACCATGTCATCCGTGTGCAATCATCTATGAAAGTTACAAACCACCTAATACCAGATGAAGTAGTAATCGAAGATGGTCCCCAAATATCCAAATGAACAAAA